GCCGCTGCGGCTCAAGCAGGAGGCGGACGAGGACGACGAGGAGGCGCCGCCCCCGCCGCTGCCGCAGCCGCCCGGGCCGCCGGCGCCGCCGCTGCTGAGACGCTACAACGTCGCCAAGGTGCCCGCCAGCCCCACGCTGAGCAGCGCGGCCGAGTCCCCCGAGGGCGCCAGCCTGTACGACGAGGTGCGCGCGGGCGCGGGCGCGGGCGCGGGGGGCGGCCGCCTCTACTACAGCTTCAAGAACATCACCAAGCAGCAGCCGCCGCCCGCGCAGCCCGCGCCGTCGCCCGCGTCCTCGCGCTCCGTGTCCACCTCCTCGTCCTCGTCCTCGGGCGCCGGCGGCGGCGGCGGCGGCGGCGAGGACGCCGACGACCTGATGTTCGACCTGAGCTTGAATTTCTCCCAAAGCGCGCACGGCGCCGGCGAGCAGCAGCTGGGGGGCGGCGCGGCGGCCGGGAACCTGTCCCTGTCGCTGGTGGATAAGGATTTGGACTCGTTCAGCGAGGGCAGCCTGGGCTCGCACTTCGAGTTCCCCGACTACTGCACGCCCGAGCTCAGCGAGATGATCGCGGGGGACTGGCTGGAGGCGAACTTCTCCGACCTGGTGTTCACGTATTGAGCGCGGCGCCCCGCGCGCCCCGGCGGGTGCGGAGCCGGGGTCCTCGGGAGGAAGTCGCGGTGTCGCGGCGGCGGCGGGGCGGAGGGAGAGAACGTGATGCTGATGTCGATGTGATGTGGTGACACAAAGAAACGGGAAAAGGATGAAATTTTCGGTGGAGTTAAAGTGAAATGAGTAGTTTTAAACATTTTTCCTGTCTTTTTTTTTTTTTTCTTTTGGTCCCCCCCCCCTTTCCTTTATCGTGTCTCAAGGTAGTTGCATACCTAGTCTGGAGTTGTGATTCCCCCCCCCCACACACACACCCCAAATGTGTTTTTGTAATTATTTCTTTTTCCTGAAATTCGTGATTGGCAACAAAGGCGGAGGGGCGGGAAGAAGGGAGGGAGGACCCGCTCCGGAAGGCGCGGTTTGAAGCTTGTCGGTCTTTGAAGTCTGGAAGACGTCTGCAGAGGACCCTTTTGGCAGCACAACTGTTACGCTAGGGAGTTGGAGATTTTTTTTTTTTTCTTAAGAGATCTTAATGAACTGGTGATTTTTTTTTTTAAAGCAAACACAAAAACAAAAAAAGGGACCATTGCAACTTTTTAATTTAATTTTATTTTTTTGGAGGGAGAAAACTGATGTCTTCTATGCATCCGATTCTTAACAAAACTGCAGGGAGCTTGAAAAAATGCAGACTGTACAAACGCTTACAAAAAAAAAACTGTGAACTGATTTAAGATCAGAGTTTACTTTTCAGATCAAATTGTTTATGGTTTTACAAATGTGATTTCTACTTGCCAACTTTTTTTTTGTAACTTGTTCCCTTATACCTCCTTAATTGAATACCAGACAGCCTAGACCTCAGTACAAAAGGTATTGAAACATTTTTGATACATAACAGACCTCAGTCTTTTTTAAAAATTAATATATTTTCAGGCGTATTTTTGTACAGTGAAAAGGGAACATTCTTGCTGTGTTTTTCCAGTAAGACTTTCAGGCACTTCTTCCCTTTCGATTTCTTTTTTTCCTCTGTTTTTTAGCATGCAAGTATGTTGGTACGTTATGTCCTGGTTTAAAAAGGATTAAAATTTTAAAATAATCCTTGCATCTAAAGGCCTTGTGGTTTAAAGAAAAGAAAAAGCAAACTTTTTTTTTGTACAGCTATAGTAGAGATTTGTTCAATATTTGTAGGTAAAGATTTATTGAAAATGGTGATATAGACCTCAGAGCTGTTATCTTAGTTTAAAGATTGTATATGTACTGTACTATATAGTAGGACTATGTATCTCATACGCTGTGATATGTGGATGGGGGCCCAGATGGAAGGTTTAAAACTGGATTCTCGATTTTTAGAAAAAAAAAAAAAAAAAAAAAGGCACATAGTTTAAAAAGTTTCTCATTTTGTGCAATATAATCTAAATAAAGTACAGACCATCTGCATATTTTGTAGCAAATGGTGGCAAAGCAGACTCAATGCACTGTCGACATCATTGCCTGTTTTTTTTTTCTTTTTTTTTTTTTTGTGCTGGAAGTCTGTATCTTGACAATTTTAATAAATCAGCTGGAACTGATAGAAACTCGCATCGCCAATAGTCTCTATGGAAGTCTAACTGGAAGCCTGTGGTCGCAGCGCATTCAGTGACGAGGCTGTTGTGTGCGCGGTGGGCGTGGCGGAGACATCGACGTTTAGAGGGGTCAGGCTGCAAAGGGCTCAGTGGGCAGGCCGAGTCTTCCTCTTCGATGACGAGTTATTAAAAACCGGGAGGAGGATTCTTGCTGCCTCTCCTTCCTTCCCCCACCCCCACTTCCTTTCTCACCTCCTCCTCCTGCACTCCCGCCCTCTCCCCACCCATCCCGGCGGGCGGGCGGGCTGCGCGGAGAGGCTGGGTGGCCGGCTGGGAAGGGAGGCCCGGCCCGCGCGCATCTGTCCTGCGGTGGTCGGGGTGTGCTTGGCCTGCGCAGGGCTGCGTGTGGCGGTGGCGCGCTCGGGGCGCTCGGGTCCCCTGCTCTCCCTTGGAGGGCGGGGGCAGCCGTTTGCCGTTTTGAATTTTTTTGGTTTGGACGCTGCGCCTCTGCGTGTGCGCTGTGATGGACGCTGGTGGGGAGCGCGGCTCCGGTTCTTGACCTCGAGCGGTGACGAGGGCAGGGGACAGGGTGTCGGTGTCCGTCTCAACCGGACCCCCGGGCCAGAGAGCTGGGACCGCGGCCTCCACGGCATCCGTGCGGGCCGAGCCGCCGGTGAGAAGCGGGGAGGGGGACGAGGGCGCTTGGGTGGCGGCCCGGTACCCCGCGTCTTGCTCTCCACGCCCAGCCATCGCGTGCGCCTCGGCGCACCCCGCCTCTGGCCCTGGAGGCCGGCGGAGACCCCCGCGCTGGGGCCCCGAGGCCCATCGGGCGGGAGGAGGAAAGCAAATCCCGGGGGGAGGCCGCGCATCCTGCGCCCTGGCGCGCCGGCTCGTGAGCCGCCGGGGACGTGACTCCGGGCGGGCAGCCTCGGAGACGGTGGCTCGGCTTCTTGGTGGTTCTGCTACTGCCTTCTCCGGGCTCGGGCGGCGCGGGGGCGGCCCCATCCCGCGCGCGCTCCCCGCGTCTGCGGACCGTTTGCCCGGGCAGTCCCCCCTCTTCGCCGCCGCTCGCGTTTTCCCAGCCCCGGCCTGCGCCTCCGACCCGCCCCGGTTCCGGCCCCGCTCCGCGCCTCCCGCCCCTCTTTTCCTGGGGGCCGCGGGCTCAACGTCTCCGAGCTGCGGCGCCTGCAGCGGGGGAGGTTTTGTTCAGTCGTTGCAAATCGCCACGCCTCTTTCAACCTACTGAAACGGTTTACCAAGGTCTGGTCTCCATTTTTACTAAGATTTGGTGAGACCAAAGGGAAGCGTCCTCGCGGTGCCAGGAGCTGCTAGGCCGAGGGGGGCCCTCGCGCCCCCGCCTCCCCTTCCCGCTCCCCTTTGCCGCTCCTGCCCCCGCAGCCTCCGCCCCCACCCCCACCCCTGGGATGCGAAGCCGGCCAGCTTTTGCTGCAGACCGACAGATTTCTGTGGCTTTCTCCTTTCGATGGACCATCAGATTTCAGTAGTACACGTGGGAAAAGAAAGGGCTGATGGTGTTAATAAGGTTCTCAATATAGAACTGGATTTCTGCAATTGTTTACTTTTTTTTTTTCCAAATAATAGACTAATGTAGTCATTGGTCGGACATTTATTTAGCCACGAATAATTGAACCAGCGGTTTACAATTGACGAATCTCTGTGCTGGTGATTTTTACGTGGCTGCCCTCTGCTGCAGTTCTAAATTTGGTTGAAAACACGAACCCATTGATAAGACTGAGTCTGTATTTTGAAAATCTGAAAACTTTGCATGTGTTTTATGTTTTAATCATAGAGGAACCTTGGACGTTTTCTGTGGTGAGGTAGGAACTTTGAGTACATTAGTATCGTGTAATTTGGCCTCAGAATGGAAACAAATAGTCTTTTGATTTTTTAAAAAAAAGTCATGTAGCCTAATTTCTTGATAGTAAAATAAGAGAAAAATAGATGGTCGGCGATCTAAATTAAAAACCTGTTAGAACTCAGGACAGGCGCTTGAATGCGCTTTTAACAATATTTAAGGCTGTTTTGATGAATGCATTGTGAAAATCAGTCTTAACGAATTCTTTATTGAATGTCTAAAACATAGTATAATACACATGGTATTCTTGCCACTGGATAGTCTTCAATAAAAGTTTAATTGCATTTTTTTTTTTTTTTTAGTCTCTTAAGTAAGTCTTATTTTTAAGCGTTGACAGAATATCTTAAAATGGTGCCGTGGGGGTGGGGGTGGGAGCTGAGGGCACTGCAGCCTAGCCAGTGGGTATCCTGCTGTTCTAACGAGTTCACAGACTCTGATGATAGGCGTTTTGGTAAGATTTCCATCTTTAAGAACTTGAACCAGCATTCTCTTATTAATTCTTTAAACTGTGGAAATGATCTTCCAGTTCTTACACTCTGATATGCATCCCTTTTATTAAAAAAAAAATAATGCTAATAAAAGGCAGTGTATTTAAACTGTGCTTTGCAAATATTATGTATGTTATGAAATGACTACAGTCACAGGGCAAGTTATCTGTAGAGTGATTATCTTTTAGCTAGAAAAAAAAATTACAACCCTTATGGGCAGAAGGCGTTTCTTTTTAAATGTTAATTAATCAAGGGGGAAGTGATTTAAATATGCATGCATATAGCAGTCAGGATGATTTGGGTTTTTTGTTTGTTTGTTTTTACAAAAAGACTTAGAAGGCAAGACTTGTTTTTCTGTTCTCTGGGGGTTGAAACCATAATCATTTGATATTGGTACAGTACAAGAAATTTACGTGTGTTTTTCACTTCAGAATTTAAATGACTTGCCCAAGGAATCTGAGAAATAAAGCAAATAAGTTGCTCTATTTTAAAAGTAGTCATTCAATATAAATATATATATATCAATCTTAACTTTTTTATTCTCTGATATAATTAATGATATGTATATTCTTACTTTTTCTTCTAATGGGCATATGTATCCTTGTGGACATTTTGGAGAGAGGTTTTTCTTGGACTCTCCCATTTATAGAATCTTTATACTCTTTTACTGTGTGGTCCCCTGCTTTTGACAGATTTCTGAGGCAACTATATTTGTGCTTTTTTCTTATGTAGGATGACCAGCAAAAATAGTTTACTGAGTTGTCAATTTTATCAGTAGATAAGAAACTTTCTTTATTACAGTTTCAGGGAAGATCTTTTCAGGATATTTCTCAGTTATTCTAAGGGCCAAATTTTATAAACTTTCCATTAGGAATGTCAGTTTCAAATACCCTTTGTATAGCCTGGGCCCGGGAGGAAGCCAAGACTGAGCCTTATGTATCCCAACAGGAATTTCCGAGTTCCCAAAGCAACCGTCTCCATGGAATGACTTGCACTTGCTTTTCAGAGATTGGGCTTCTTTTAATTGTCAGTTCTTTTCTCACTGTTCATTTATTTGACTGATTCTACTGTACCCCCTTTTTATTTGATGATCCGGCAAATTCTGCTCTTTGATATGAACTTGGCATTTTTCACCCCTTTCTGCGGAGCCCGTGTTTGCCATCACAGTAAAGATGAAACAAATTTATTAAACTCAGCTCTCTTCCATTATACTTTGCTATGGCTTTTTTCTTAAATCCTTCCATATCTTCATTTTTTTTTCCATTGTAGTTTTTTTTTTCACACTACCTATCTCAATTAGCTGCCTAATTAGTTTTACCTATTACATGTGGATGCAGTGAGTTTATAAGAGAATTTCACAAACAAGTAGTTTTTTAGTGAACTTAAACAGAATTTTAAAGGAGACCTATTTTTATACTCAATAAAAGCACAAAAGTGCAGAAAGTATAAAATGGCTTACAAAGGGAAACATAAGTTCATACTGTTCTGTGTATAAAGTAATAATTTTATTGGGTAGAGATACTCTTCAAAGATTCAATACCTCTGCCAATGCACAGATAGGACTGTGTTCAATGACTTGGGAACTTCGAGTTGCCTGCGGCTGCAAACAGGTCACTTCTGTAGAGGAAACAAACCACTAAAAGCAATAGCATCGAGTTGAGCTGTGGTTTCTCATGAACCATGGAAACACCCTGGACGTGCCAGGAGGCGCCCTTCTCATTGTTTGATCAAACTTCTTTTCTGTAGTCACGTAAACTTGGATTTTTCTCTGCTGTGAAGATGTCAAAATAAAGCAATATGACAAAAAAGTTTGAAAATGTTTAAAAAATATTGAATCTAGGGTCCTTGAAGTGACTTTGATGCTTAACGTTCTTTTATTAGACATACTACATTCCTTAAAAAAAAAAAATGCAACTGGGAATAATAATATACCATAGAAAGAATTTTGATCAAATAGATACTGACCAAGGGCCCTCTAACACATTTTTTCTTCATCTAGCTTATGTTGAAAAACACAACGCCCCATCCGTTGAATTACATAGGGAGAAAAGTTATATGCCATTACCATTAATTTCCCATTGTGTCAACTTTTACTCTTGTACATATGTTGTGAGTTTAAGAGTCTTTTGCATTTGTTCTGTGACACCTTTTTTTGAATGGACTGTTTTAAAACGGAGGCCCACTTTCCCTGTTGGGGACTCCTCGTGGTTATGGCATCTCGCAATGCTTCATGACAGCCACCAAAACTGCCATAGAGCAGTTCTCAGCATGACCCTGTCAACAAGTCTGTTTTTTTCCAAGGCCACGTGAAACTTACTTTCACAGCCACTCCAGGTTTGGGAGCAGGAAAGCTGAAAAACTCTTTTGTTTAGAAGTCTGAGTGGTTTGTGGGGGGGGGACCTTTTTAGAGTTTGCATGCCAGCGCACGCCCTAATGCTGTGCAGCAG